ATACAACGTAGAATTATATTGATGCGTGTATTTTGTATGATACACAGTCGTCGAATTTTGTTTGTTTTGTCAACAGTTTCCTAAAGACAGTGAGATTATTATTTTCGGAGACACAGCCTTATTTATTGGAGCATGCAACATGGTGTTTGAAAAAAGTCACGTCCTTTCATCGAGAACCTGGGTAGTGATGACATAACCGCAAGGCACTCTAATGAGCAGAGTCGAGAACATCGACCTTCGTATCACAAAAAGAAATAGCATATTTCCCTTCAAGATCCCGATTGCGACTTTATCAACCTGCATCTTTGGAAGCTCTGAGTTTTAAGTTTGTCCGTCAAAACTGGAAATCTATCACGGAATTCATCATGTTCGAAGCAAGCTCTTGAGTACCGAATTAACTGCGACACGTTAACAAAAGTAAGTAGGGTAGGCAGGGATGTTACTCTCAAGAAAGGGAGATATCACCATCGGAAAGTCGTAACCGTCCCGTTAATTGTGCAGCTTAGTAGTAAGCCGTACCAGTTAGATATGTTGTTAGTTATGATCGAGAAATGCTTCTGAAGAAGAAGATTCTAAGGTGTCCTTGATTCCAAGTTATGTAGGGTCATTTGTATATACGATCGATGTGGTCAATGAATTTCTCGTTATTCAAAAACAAATTAATTTGTATGTGTAAATAGTAAAACATAAAAGCGGTAGTCAATATCAAAAAAGATATTTGTTTTATTTATCACAGGTGTTAAAAACGTGTGCTGGAAAGCTTATGCTATCTATAATAAAAAAAAATCCCCAAACTATCATTAAATGGACTTTCGTTTTGGATGCAGTTGGCACAAGTAAACAAGAAACATGAACATGAATTTTGTAAAGGGTAAGCAAAGGCGACTGTCGAACGCGGTCATATTCATCCTTTTTCAAATATCCGAATCCCATGCTTTGGTACTGGTTTCTTGTAAGGAGAACAGTTTTTGTACAGGTACAGGTACAGATTTAGGTACAGTACGGTTTGATTTTTTAAAACTTTTGTCATATTTATAGACACATCGATGCAACAGTAGTAGAAAAAAGATATTCCAATCAATTTTTATGCTCGATTAGTATGATGAGTTCACACAAATTAAATCATTGTACATCTATTTTGAGTTTATATGATTAATAAACACTTGTTTGCATCTACTCATAAATATTCAGACCTTGTACGACTTTTATTAAAAATTCATGGCACGGCCTTGAAATGGCTTCAATACGTTATTTGGAAAACTCTTTTTATATTGACATTGATGATTCTTATATCAATCACATCCGGACAGCCCAAGGAAATGATGCCATCGGGCAGATACAATCGGATTGGAGTAGATGCATACACTGTACCATTAATTGAAATCGGCCAATCCATGCGTTATCGTTTCAATCTATAGCTTGTTAATGGAACTCTGCTTTGATTTAATAGCTAACTCAAGGCCATCTTTATATGACTCTGTATGACGTCACAATATCAACGGTTCAATGCGGCGTAAGCCACTTAATTGTAGATTTTCAATTATAGATCTGCGGTTGCCTCTCGGTCTTATCCACTTGCTCGCGATGAGAAAATTGTTCTCACGACAAACACTGAAAATACTGTATGATAAACTATTTATCATCTATATATTACTACCTTGTATATTTCTCCATTTAAATAACTCAACTAAACACCATGTTTTCCAAATGACTTCTAAGCTCAATGGTCAACGACCGCCTGTGACAAACGTAAATAAATAGAAGGAATACAATGAACCTTAAAACTACGTAGATTTTTTTTAAACAATCCTATCGTCATTAGCTTTTCCATATGTACATTTACATATGAAATGGTGTTGTTATTCTCTCAATATGTTTCCGTAACTTTTTATTGATATGTTTATGACGGACTATTTTCTGATGCGGATCACTTTTGTGTGGACACAATTTCCGGTTTTCGGACGTCATCTGACTCGAGCAGACGTTCTTTTTTTTTTTTTTTTCAGAAAAAACGTTCCCAAGGTCAGGGGAATTGGAACATCCATTCTCAAGTACTTCTCAGGTTGTTCTCAATTTCTTCTCATGCTGACAACCAATGTTAATGAATTGATCATGCTACCGGTAGGTGGTATACAGTAGTATATAGATGGTAAAGACGGATACTACCTTGTATCTATCAAAGTAATGATGTTTTAGGTTTGCCTATCGATATTGTATATATATAGAACCAATGACGTTGAAGCATTTCGTGCTGTACATTGTGCATTTTATGTCATTACTGTAATCATTGTATACTCTTTATCAACTGTATCTGCATTTGTGTTACTTCTCAGCTCTTTTATCACAGATATGCGGGGAGACTTTAATAGGGTTTAGTTACTGGTGATTTGGTATACATAACGTCATACTGCTTTTCTCCTTGTTCTGTTGTTATGGCGTCTCCTCATTTTCATGATTTTTTAAAATATATTCTTTTAAGTCTGATTTAAGAAAGTGTGATTTAAATGTTGTGTCGTTTTGATTTAGTGTGTCCTCAGTATATAAAAACAGAACTTTATTTTTTTTATAACTCATTCTTTTTATATTGATACCATTGCACAACCTTTATGATAAAAGAAATATCTGCAATATTGAGAAGAAGATGCTAGTCACAACAAAAGAACAGTAAAGGTTTGGATTCTGTTTAGACTCCGTGTATGGTGTGCAACCTACCCTTTGATGATAAGTGTAATTTATACATACAAGTGTTAGTTGTGAGTTGACAAAATTGGATTTTATTGTTGTTGTTTTTTCTAGTTAGCAATTTATTCTGGAATTAATTCTGGCAGGGTTGACTTTATACACTACATAAAGTTTATGAAAGAATTATTTGTTGTATTTGTTACCTGGATTTTATAGTTTTTTTCGCTGTTGAATGTGTTGTATATTTGTTTCGAAACATTTAGACAAAATAGCAATTTATGGGCGGATTGGTCGAGTGGTTAACAACCCGGCCTTCCACGTCTTTTTTTGCTCCTGCCCACACAACTTCACAAACCCAAGTAGAGTATAAAATGGTCAGGGGTGGGTGTTGCGGTATCTGTGCTGTTGCATTCAATTGAGGTGGCACTATTAATGATACCGTTGGAAACACGGTCCCATTACAAACATAACACAATTCATCTCCAGAACACACGCAGGCATACACACATAGGGAGATATTAGCCAGGTGGCAAAGGACTAGTAGTTTGCGCCTGATACGGCAGATTCTGCGAATTCCTCAAAAATTGTATTGTTTAACGTATATGCTAATTGTATTGATTAGAAAAATGTATATCTATGTACTGTAAAGCGCTTTAGAGTGGCTTAGGTTAGAGAGGCCGCTATATCAAATGTTGTATATTATTATTATTATTAATTTGGTGCAGTAAAATGGTAACTTTGTGTGGCATTCTACATCTACTAATTCAACTTTTCAAAATGTGTATTTCAGATGATGACTTTACGAAAAAAATTGTACATTCTTTGCATTATAATTTGTTAAAATTATTGTCTGTATGTAAAAAAAAAAAGGGATGATAATGAAAATTTTATATAGTTTTGCTTTTGTTTCTGGTCATTTTATGGTAACCTCTCTGCTAAGCTTCTTTGTTTCTTTAAAATGATATCGACATATTGTTTACATGTAGGATTCATGTTGCATTTCTGATCTGTTTCAGTCAATGACGTACATGTATGATACCGTTACATGATTGGTCAAGTATACAATAATTAGTTTCTGACGTCACAGCTATTTTGTTTTGCTATCTAATACATACTTACAATAACAACGTCGATGGCAATCCTACTATATTAAAGACGATATAGTTTGTTGTTCTTACGTTACCACACCGAGGCTTGTTTGTGTCGGGTTGTCCCTGTGGCCGTCCTGGTGATTATGTCAGCACTCGTGAGTCGTGGTTTAATTGCGGCACTGGCTGTTCCAAACAAATTGCTTTCTAGATTTGGCGTCTTAAATGTACTTGAGAAGGGACTCGACAGTGCATTGTTGGCCACGGCACAAAGCATAGCAATACTTCTAATATAACATTTTCAAAAGAAAGCTCTGTTCTTTGTATATAAACACAATCCTGAAACATTTTTTTTTCTGTGTATCAATGGATATTATCAGTATTGGGACTTGATAGAATGAAACATGCTTTTAAAATAATGAACGCTACAATACGTTGAGCAGAGGAACGCGTTGCCATATCGCGTCACTGTTTCATTTTACCGGTCTAATACTTCGGCAAATTTTCTTGTAGCTGATGGATTACTACAACAGACTTCAATGCCTTAAAGTAATCTTTGTTCGAAGCACTTTAATCGAAGTGTATTTGACAATGTCACAGTTTTAACTGTGCGAAGATGCAGCTCGCTTGCGGCCGGTTTACATTTGCCCAAAATACGGCTTGTCAATTCTATGAGAAAATACGAGTTAATGCTGCTGTAATAAGTTTATAAAAAGATATATCAGACGAAAATACAGCGGATAAAGTCTGTCTCCCTAATAAACTTAAGGTTTTGTGACATGTACTTTAGGTAACGTTAATGTCTCTTCGTTGTACCGATAAAACATATTTTTTTCGCTATAGGTCGTCGACATTGTCAATGCCACGTGCATCAGTGACAGTCTGGTCGTAGAAATGTCACAGACTCGACAATAAACGACTTTCGATCGCAAAACGATGCAAGGAACCTTCTTGCAGGTATTGTCTCAATCAATAAATAAAGTGAAAAACATTTATGTCCTGTTAGCATCCGTCCATATAAAATGTTAATGTATTCATATATTATGTCTGTACTGTAAGATAGTGTCTTATATAAACATGTAATGACCTAATAAATCACAACTTTGTAGAACCTGGTTATTTTCTTTTTAACAGGAATGTTGAAGTTCATCATTCGCTAAGATAGGGTACCAAGTGGAGTACATGTTGAAACTGTCCCTTAAAATAAATAAGAGAGTGTCACTTAAGGTTACTCGACACATCGTCATCAGCGGCCATTTTCATGACGTACTTCCGAAAAAAGTACAACGGACCGAATATTTCCGAGCGAAATGTGCCCATACACCGTAAAAAGTAACTCTCCAGCTTTGAAAAATACAAAAACATACTCAATCACTTGAACGCTTTACAATAATGTCGTTTTCGCCACTGTTTTGAAAGAACCGAAGAAACACTGATTGTGTTACGTTGCTAATGTCCACAATTGCTCTAGAAATGGACAGAGATAACCACGGCAAATTCACTTCAGGAAACAATGTCAGTGAACTGGACAATAACCATGTGCACCATGACCATGCATACACTAAATGTAAGTTTGTTTAGCATGCCAGTTATCGAGACAATACAAATACCGGTCCATTTTATATTTTATCAGTATAGCATATGTGTGATCGTTACGTGACCCAGTGCATCAAGCAAACAAAATATGGAAAGTATAGAAATGAGCGGTATATAGTTGTGCTATCTTGATATCACTGGGAAAATATTATGAAGCAGTCGAAAATTATATGAGTCCAATAACGTAATTTACAAATACAATACAATCGCTGGAGAATTATATCATGTTAGGCCCTAGATATTTTATAATGCATTTGTTCCATGTGTATTGTTTAATGTTCAATTCTACATAGAGTTCATAAACCCAGTATTTATTTAATAAGATAAGAATATATTACAGTGCCAATATCACCTATTCTACACATATTTCAATGCAAATATAAATGATATATGTCAGGTGTCCATTGATTCAGTGATGTATACATTTATTTTAGATGATTATCCAACTGATAATTATGTAACGGATGATGATGAACAAGATGATGATGATGATGATTATTCTGATGAAAATGGTATGTTACATAAATGTATGTAAATTTAATCATGTAAAGTAGAGAAATAAATGTTCACTTGTAAATTTCTAAGCTTATATACTAAAACATGTCATTTTTGTTTTGTTTTTTATTCACCAGTAATTATGTTATGATATATTAAGAATATCAATGTTGATTTAATTTTGGTTTAATTTAAAGCCCTTATTTATTGTGGAATTGGAGAAACTACAATCAACAAAATTCTTGCTGCTCTAAATATTCCCAAGATTTCTGCAACAACTTTAAAAAGGAGAGAGAGAGAAGCAGGAACAGCTTTAGAATCTGTGGCGGAGACTACATGTGATGAAGCCTTACAAAAAGAGCAACATAGGTAAGAAGGTTCTCATTTAATGATAAATTAATATGAAATGACATTCCATATTAGGAATGTGAGGGCTGTACATGTTTTATGTTGTTATTTTCTTGTATAAATAGCTGATTGGCATGTACGTGTCGTAAGGACATTATGGTGTTATTCCAAGCTGCTTCCCTGTTACTAGTACTGTGTGCAATTTATATTTGATGTTTATTGTCTCCCTTTTCAGAACCGATCAAAATGGTGAAGACATAGAAAAATCTGTTTCATATGATGCAGGATGGCAAACACGTGGGAGTGGTAGAAATTATGCAAGTCTCTCTGGTAAGACCAAAACATAATATATTTAGCACAGTTTTTATATAGTTTTAATACTTTTCCATATTTCAATAACATTAAATTCAAATAAAGGTTCTAATACATAATTTTTTTGATGTTATTAAAAATGAGAATTGAGCAAAAGTATTGGTTGATGGTATTGTCACTATGTTCTTCATGTATTTCCCAAGTTTTGTTTATAGGGTTTCTAATGGCTACATTTAATTGTAGGACATGGATCTATGATAGGAGGAGAAACAGGAAAAGTTGTTGCTTATGCAGTTAGGTGCAAGCAGTGTCGCTTTTGTGATGTTGCTGCTAGAACAAATACCGAAGTAACAGAACATGATTGTAGAAAGAATTGGTCGTCATCATCCAAGGCAATGGAAGCTGACATGGCGGTAACTATGCTGCAAGACCTAGATAAGAAGGGCTACCATGTTGACAACATAGTGATGGATAACGATACAACTACACATGCTAAAGCAAAGACATTATTTGATCCATTTCTCAAGAAATGTTCAGATTTCAATCACACAAAGAAAAACTTCACTAGTAAGCTTTATGAACTGAAAAAGGAGAAAAAATACACCCTCTTGGGCCCAAAGACAATCAAACATTTAAGTAAATGTTTTGCATATGCTGTTAAATCAAATACAGACAATCCTGAGAGTTTAAAATCTGGACTAAAAGCTATACCATCTCATGTGTTTGGTGACCATCAACTGTGCGGTAAAGAATGGTGTCGGTATAAAGAAAAACCAGATACATATAAACCAACACATTTACCATATGGAAAATATTTAGTTGGAGACGATCTGCGAAACGACCTTCAGAAAATATTTGACACTTTTTCAAAAGGAAGTGAGAAGATGTGTAGAGTTGGAAGTACTCAAAGCAACGAAAGCTTCAACAGGATTGTGGCCTCCAAACACCCAAAAACTCATTTTTATGCAGCATCAGAAAGCACTGCTTTTAGAGTTGCTGCAGCTGTTGCACAGAAAAACATTGGTCACTCAACCATAGCAAAGGTATAGTTTATATTTATTTCATGTTTTACTACTCTGAAATGTTTTTATATATGTTTATAGTCAATATAATTTTTCATTTAAATGCCATTCCATTACATATCCTAATTTATTTATTATGAATTTCAGGTACATGAACAGCTGTTATTGTCTCCTGGTAAAAACACAGAGGATCATATACAATCCATGGACAGGAAAAGAGAGCAGGACAATGATCGAAAGAGTAGCACAGAATACAAGAAACGTCGTTATGAACTTCGCACATCAACAGCAACACATGTTTCAACAACAGAAGTGAAAGAGGGAGCTACCTATCAATCTGGAGTCGACATAGATGACACTAGTTCCCAAGATCTAACAGCCATACCAGACCATATCATCCCTCCAGTTCCTTCAAACATACTACCTGGAAAATACAGCTATGTGTATTTTGATTTGGAGACAACTGGCCTAGGTACAATTTCCATTTCTTAGTTTTGTCAAAAATGAAAATGTCATGAAATATAATATATATTCTACATTTTTTTTCTTCTCCGTAGCATGTGTTCTTCACACAAGTAAAAATCATACAACAACAATACTTGCATTGTATAATTGCTTGACAATATTACACAATCTTAAAGTGTTTAGAAATTAATATTTTTTAAAGAATGGATACTATATTACAATACATGCAGTTATGCTAAAATCAGAGTTATGACCCTTGTCTCAGAATCTGTTAATTTGATGTTTGTTGACAGACATATATATATATATATGTGGATTTGAAGTTGATTCATGTAATTTTATCAATATCTGAAGTATCAATTTATAATGTTATATATTACAGGTACATGTTCTGAAATAGTACAACTGGCAGCTGTTTATGGTGATCAGTCATTTGATAGGCATGTCATGCCTACTATTCCAATCCATCCCAAAGCAAGTGCTGTAACTGGTCTACATATTGTTGGAAATAACTTATATCACCATGACAGAAGACTTGATACAGTTACACAGGAGACATGTTTAATGGACTTCAACCAGTGGTTTAAGGGTATTCCCAATCCAGTATTAGTGTGTCATAATGGCAAGATGTTTGACTCTGTTATACTTGGAAAAGCCATTCAAAAACATGTCAATTGTGGATTGTTAACTACATTGATTGGCTTTATAGACAGCCTGTATATGTTTAGAGAAATTCTGCCTGGTCGCTCTACTTATTGTCAGCAGTCATTAGTTAGAGATACACTTGGAATTGAGTATGCTGCACATTCTGCATTAGAAGATGTAAAAAGTCTACAGAAATTGGTATTACATCACAATGTTTCAACTACAATTTTATTAAATCACAGCTTTACAATAGATTTTACAATGTCTTA